TTTAATCCCCCCTGGCCTCAATCCTTCAGCTACAAATGCACATTAACTTAATTACCTTGAGTTCCCTCCCTGGTGTCCCAAGCAGTGAGTGCAGACCTGTGCATATTTGAAGGTGTTGATTTGTCTCTGTTTTTTCACCTTCTTCAAGTTAATAGTGATGACTCTCAAAGAACCACTTTGAGTATCTGCTCTTAGAATTTATCCTGCAGAAAAATGTTTGCACTCACAAGCTCGTCTTCCTCTTGACCATCAGTAACATTCACAGCGAGAATTTAAAACTCAGTGATGTATTTGCCCTAGGCAATGTAACAAGTATTTTTAAGCAGCTCAGATGTTACTGAGAGTATCTTTGCTGAGTTTCAGAAAGCAGATTTACTGGGTGTTCCTCACTAGGTAACATGAGATAACCTTTTGTAATAACTGAGTTTCTGTTAGTCCATAATGTCTAGGGATGAGGGGTGCTGGTAACTTCTTGTCACTCAGGGCCTGCAGTGGCTCACAGGGATTCTGTCCTGCCTGTGCTGTCAGTCCAGCTGATGCTTTTGAAAAAATTGAGTCCATGGGTGTTCTTCTTTCCTCTGGCTGTTAGGGAAAAACAAAAAAAAATCTGCGCACTTCACATCTTGAAAGTTAATCCTGTTAGAAATGTTTCTTTTAAAATGCAGGGGTGCTGGTGTGTGCAGCGTTCCCCTGTGGACCAGCCCTAGAAGGAAAGGAGAATTTCAGTGATTGTTTGTTCTGGCTGCTTCAGTTACCTAGTGATACTGAGAAGGAGAAAAAAGAGATTTAGAAACCACTCTGAAGCTCAGTATTGAAATCACTTTGGACTCGCTTTTCTTTCTAGATTAATGCAAAGTTTGTATCCCTCAGAGTCATTTAATATCTTCATTAATCTCCCAGTGACTGAGAGTATCACATATCTACAGTAATGTACAAAAGAAAAATGTATTTTACATTTAATGCATTCTTTCAGGCTTCTCAGCAGCTGTTCTCCTTAATTAGGTAGCGTACCATTGGTATTTTTTCATTTAAATTTGCAATTGTAGAAGTGGTTGAGCACTTCTACATGTAGACTAAAAACAGGTTTATGTAATGAGCATCCTTTGATTCCCTGTCCTTGGCACCCTTCTTAGGAGTCACCCATGAATAATGCAAAAATAACAACTGTCCTGATAGCCATGCTTTCTGTCACACTTCTTTTTTATCCCTAATTCTGTAATTACGGCTTCTGTAAATTATTTCTCCTACTGTCAGTTTTTGGTCTGCATCAGTGAGATCCTGATGGAAATGAAGAGGATGATGTACCAGTAGGTTGTGGGGGAGTGTGAAGCATTATTTTCTTGCCAGTGAGCTGTTACAAATTTGCATATGCAATCTCCTGAGGAATTACTTAACGCATCTCCCGTGTCCTGCCCGTCCCTGGTGGGCTGCCTGTGCCCACTGCCCCGCTGACCACACTGCTCTGCTGAGGACAGCAGGGCCCTGCCAGGAGTGGGGTGAGCTGCAAGGCAGCAGCTCATCTAGTCCTCCCTTCTTATAAACCGGTTATTTTAATTTAAATGACTCCTGTGCAAATCCAGTGATCTCTGAAATGACATTTCAAAGGGCTTGGTGTGAGGGAGTGAGTGGAATTGTAAAGTTACATTACACATTTTTTTTATTCCTGGTGTGCTCAGTGTTATCTTTGAATCACAGAAATTGATTTTCGTTGTTGCTGAGAGTGTTCTACACCTTATTCCTGAAAAAAAGAGTAATTTTCTTTTCATGTTAGTTGTTCTTGAATAAGTTTTATTCTTCTGCAACAGGTTCCATTTTTTCAGTAAGTATTTTAGGTGAGCTTCTAAGCTCAGATGGACATTACTAAAATCAATGGGAAAACCTAGTTTAAGTTTGGAGTTTTTTCCCAGCATTAAGTACTCTATAGAGTAGGAATCAGTAAGTAGCACTGTTGACAGCTGTGGGAAGAGAATGGCCTTGCAGTCTTGTTTTCTGGGATTCACGTGGTGGAATGTCACCACTGTGAGCTCCTGGGCTGCCTGTTCATTTTCAAAACTGCGAGAGAGATGCACAGTGAAATAAAAGAGGAATGAACTTCTGGAGCCCACACTGTGATCTCAAACCCAAGCCAACTCTAAGAGCATGTGGGATAACTTCTTTTGAGAGGTAGCACAGTTACATCCTCTGAAAATTAACTTACAAAACATTGCCTCTCTGTTGTTTTTTTTTTTTTTCTGAGGCCTTTGACAGGAATCTTTGCTACTTGAATCATCTTCTTCTTTTTTTTTTTTTTTTTTAAGTTTTCATAATAAATGGGTTGAACACCCTAAGATGAAGAGCTTTTAATTTTGCAAGATTTGGTTGGCTGTCAAAGAGACATTAAAACAAGTGTTTTCCAGCCAAATTGCATCTGCTGAGGCGTGATGGATCCAAAGAGACGCTGCTCATGCTGCCTGTCTGCATGTTCCTTGTGGGCAGGACTGGAGAAGAAGAATTTAATGTTTTAATGTATAAAAACATTTAGGAGGAGATCTGCATTAAAATGTGGATTGAAAGCCACTGAGGCCTGGAAAAATTTGGTGGGGTTTATTATGGCTGTTTTAAATGTGAAAGAAATCAAAAAAAGGGTTGTTTAACCAGTAGGTTTTATGACTCAACAAATTTTTTGTATCAGGAATAATAGAGCATAAAGTTAGGGAGCAATGCCTTGCTGCAAATTGCAGCCATCCACACTAAAGCAGTTATTCCTGCTTATTTCTGGGATAACACTGCTCAGTATGTATGTTCAAAAAACAAGTATAATTATTCTAGTGTAAAGGACAGAGGCAGAAAGAACAATTTTATCAATTTTCAAAGGATGACATTTAAGAGGTTTTTTGTCATTTAAAAACTCACTGTTTTTGAAATCTGTAGTTAAGCCTGAGTTGGATTTGAATGTTTTAAGATGCTGGAAAGAAAGACTTCTTCTCCAGCTGTCTCTAACAACAAGGGAAAGATAACACTAATTTCTCTTTGTATCTAGAGCATTTAGTGAGGAAGTTCAGGAAATTATTTTTGTGAATGCAAATTAGATACAAAACAGGCTAAAATATTTTGTGGGCTCTGTGGAAATGATGCAATCCCAGAGACAAATGGAAGCTCTGTGTGCAATCATCACAGGCACACAACAGACAGCCTGTGAGATGCTGTCTCTGTAAGGAAAAGCCAAGTAAGAAATGAGAAAATAATAATAATGCCACTAATTGTAGAGTTGGAAACTTAGGACTGAAGTTGTGTTCATTAAGGAGCCAGAGATTGTTCAAACATAAAAAGTATTTGTCATTCTGATTAATGGATTTGCAGGTAATAGTGTTAAAAAAAGGACTAAGTTATCCTGTTCTCTGTGGATCTGTGCAATAAAGAGGATTGCTTGATTTTACAGCAGAGCCTGGTGCCTGACCCAGGCTGGGAAATGGGCCCAGGGGTGGTGGGGGCACTGTGAGAAATTCAGTAAAATGTTCATCATTCCTAGCCCAGCTTTTGAAAGGATTACAGCAGTAAGTGGCTAAATAAAATGTTAATTTCACAAAACCTCACTATCCTGAGTTATACACTTAATTCAGAGAACAGTCATGTACAGTTGAGTTAGCTTATGGCCAGAATCACCTGTCTTTTGGGGTATGTGGGAGTGTAACTTGTGTGTCTGTGTTTAAGCACACAGTCAATGGAACAAAAACTCAGTTTTCTCACAGGCTCATCTCCAACCAAAAGTAGTTAATTTATAACTGAAGATTTGCTTATTACGCAGTTACAAATGATAGCACGACAGACTTTCAGTGCAGGGACCAGAGAATATATACAAATTATAGTTGTGCTGGGTCCAGCTGCTTGCTTTTAGTCATAAGATCCTCATAAAATTATTTGTATCTTGATGATGCCTCAGGAGGTCACAAAAGCAATTATAATACAGACCCAGCAAAAGAGAAAGAAAAAAACTTATATTGGGCTATTCTTTAAAGGTTCTGATTGGCTGTAAATACTGTTGTGCCAAGCTGTTAAATTTGGGAATATAATTTACTAAACACATTATTTACTTTTCCTTAAATTAGTGTGGCTTGTATGTAACTATATACTGGCTGATAAGAGAGAATAAATCCAGTTTCACATCCCTCCTCAGTGTCATGCTTGTGATGACCTGTCTCAGAAGGGATGCTCTAATATGATTCATATCATTCAAAAGTAGAAATGCAAAAATGAAATACTCTTCCTTCAGTATAGAATGGGTATTACTTGCACAGGTAGGGAAAGCTGCAGAAGAAGGGAAAACCAGGGTGGACTAACAACAGGTTTCTCAGATGTAGACCACAAATTCACAATTTGAGATAGGCTTTGAGTGTTGAGGGTTACATGGATCTGAATCAGAGCTGGAAGAGTTGTGTGGAATGTGGAGGAATTGGTGTGTTGCGCTCACCTGCCTGCCAGCTGCTAAGCGTTGTTTCAACAGAATGAGGAGAGAACTCTAAAAATACCTTTAAATCTTGTTTAAACATGCTGGTTAAGAATGTATACCTCTGCAGTTAGGGGAAATAATGCTTATTTTGTTCTTAGTGCCTGAAGGAAATGGCTGCTCTGCTGTTTGGATACACAAATACCTGGTTCACACGACTTTCCACTCTGTGGAAATGCCAGTATTGGATACCTTTGGGTACTGGTATCATTAGAAACACATAGAGGGTTGAACCAAAGGAGTGAAATTCACCTTCGCAGCCACCTTTGGTGGAATTTTTGTGAGCTGACTGGTCTGAAGTGCCAGGGTTCTTTTTGAGGGAAAAGCAGGCTGGCTTGTGCTGTTTGTGAAGCTGTGTGCTGGGAGACTGTTCCGGAAGGTGAATGTTCTGCCTGCTCTCTTCTCCTCTGTTTGGAGCAGCAACCAGGGATTATTACAGATTGCTTTCATGCCCATGATTGTTTTTTTCCCAGCATTAGCTGGCATTTGTAATGTTGTGTTCTGTGTCCCGGCGCAGAATGGGCGCTGCAGACAACATCTACAAAGGCCGGAGCACCTTCATGGAGGAGCTGACAGACACTGCTGAGATCATCCGAAAAGCCACCTCGAGGTCGCTGGTGATCCTGGATGAGCTGGGCCGAGGGACGAGCACTCACGATGGCATCGCCATTGCCTATGCCACCCTGGAGCATTTCATCAGAGATGTAAGTGCCCGTGGCCCCGTGTGGGCCGCGCTGGCCATGGAGGAAGGTGCCACATCCACCCCAGGGCTGTGGGGAAAGCACAGCCGCTCCATGAGGCCATGCTGGCCATGGAGGAAGGTGTCATGTCCACCCCAGGGCTGTGGGGAAAGCCGTGGAGGAAGGTGCCATGTCCACCCCAGGGCTGTGGGGAAAGC